CAAGGTCCAGCACTTTAATGCAGCTGTTTGTAGTTCTCTGTGGGATTTCTCTGTGGCAGCTGAGTGCTACATGCAGGAATAAACATGACAAAATGTAGAAAGATTCTTTGGGATATTTCTAACTTTTTAAACTCATTTTTCCTTTTCCTGTCGTGTTTTCTCTATTTCACTCTAATCTCTAAGGCCCAGCATGCCTCCCATTAACCTCTCTGATCTTATCAGACTCCTAGTTTCATACTTGTGTCTCTGCTTAGGCCTCTATGGCTTTCCCAAACTTACCAAAGCATTCTTGCCTCAGGGCCTTTGAACAGGCAGTTCCCTCTGCCTGACTAGTTTTCTCCTTATGTATTAAAATTACTCATTCCCTTGCTGCTTTTTTTTTTTTTTTTGTCTTTTCTTTTTTGGTGCTGGGATCGCCCTCTCTTCTTAAGGGCATTTATAGGTTACCCTCTTATGAGGCCCCCTACTTAAAACATAGGTGCCTTCTGGACATGCACTTCCTTCCTTCCTTCTTTCTCTCTCTTTTTAAAAATCCTTCCCTGTAGTGCATATCACCAAGTAACACAGTATAGATTTTATCTTTTCTGTTATCTATTTACCACACTAAATGTAAATTTCACAAAGGCAGTTTTTTAGCAGACATTTTTTCCACTATTGCATTACCAACATCCAGAACAGTGCTTGAAATATAATTAGTTAATGAACAAAAATTTAATAAGAACTCCTGCCAAACCTATTATTATTATGATAAGTCAATAAACATATGAGTTTTGGAACTGGCAAGGGTTAAACTCTCATTGCATATTCAATCTGGTATACAGAAAGCAATGGGACAAAATATAGACACAGGTATACATGGTAACTTAGCAAATGATAAATATTTCTTTTCAAAGTAATGAGGGAGGAATTACATTTGAGCTTAATCTACTAATAAAAAAATTGTAAGATTTGCTGGTGTTGTTGGTGGCTCATGCCTGTAATTCTAGCTACTCAAGAGGCAGAGATCAGGAGGATTGTGGTTTGAAGCCAGCTGGACAAATAGTTTGTGAGACCCTACCTCAAAAACCAAAACCAAAACCAAAAAAAAAACACAAAAAGAGGTGGTGGAGTGGGTCAAGATGTAGGCCCTGAGTTCAAGCCCCAGTACCACACAAAAAAAGTAAGATTCATTCATACTATAACCTTGTATTAAAATACATTCTTGATGAATCAAAGATTTAAATAAAAAACAAACTATTGAAACATTAAAAGAAAACACCTACAGAATCACCTACAGAATTACTGACATGATAACACATTTAGAGCTTAAACAGCCAGTCCTACTAGGGTCTACAATCAATATCATTTGTGTAAGTAGTGAATATATCAGACAAGCAGCAATACATGTTTTGCAGAAGCACCTACATATCAAAGGCTAAACAAAAACACACTATTTTGACCAAGAATAGAGGGAAATTCAAGTAGGGAAGAGGATACTGAAAATTATCTACAAAAATTGAAAGGAAAGCACACATGACCAATAATAAACATAAATAGAACTGGCAGAGTGGTTCCAGTGGTACAGCACCTGCTTAGCAAGCGTGAAGCCCTGAGTTCAAACCCCAGTACAACCATAAAAAAAACCACATAAAATTATTTAAATGTAGATGACATTTTAATGTTTAAAGACTTACTTAATTTTCAGTAATTTTTTAAAAACAGTTTTGCTATGTAGCCTAGGCTGGCCTTGAATTCACAATCCTTTCCTATGTACAGATATATACAAATATACGAGTAATGTGAGGAAAACATGATCCCAGTGTTCAGGAAGATGAAGCAGGAGGATCATGAATTTGAGGACAGCCTGGGCTACACAGACAGATACTGTCTCAAACAACAACAGTGGGAGATGCTGTTGATTTACACCTGAAATCCTCGATACTCAGGAGGCAGAGATCCAGGAGGATTGAGGGTCAAGGTCAGCCTGGTCAACTAGTTTCAGAGGCCCTATCTTGAAAATACCCAATGCTAAAAAGGTCTGGTGGTCCTGCCTAGCAATCATGAGGCCCTGAGTTCAAGCACCAGTACAGTTAAAAAAAGAAAAAAAAAACCACAAGAGTAAAATGAAGTAATATTATAAAATGAGTGACAGAGGAAAATAAGAGAGAAGATTGGAAACTAGAAGTGTGATAAGAAAAAAAGGTTTGAAAAAGATAATGAAAAAAACTACTGTGACCAGAAAGTAGCTTGTGGGAATATGGGGTCTTGTATCTTGGAGTTGGAATACTTTTGACTGCTAGTGAGGCTGGTAAGTGGTTCTTTAATTTAGTAGATAAAATAGTGTGAGAAAATGTCTAGTATTTGAAAAGGTCATTGTCCTGGATGGCGATGTCATCAAGGAAATGTCAAGGGACAGAAAGATTCTTTTTGTTGTTGTTTTTTGTTTTTGTAAGTAACTTTTGTTTTTTGGGTTTTTTTTTGGTGATACTGGGGTTTGAATTCAGTGCCTCAGGCTTGCTAAGGAAGTGCTCTACCACTTGAGCCACTCCACCAGTCCTGTTATTTTTGAAACAAGGTCTTACTATGTGGCCCAAGCTGGCTGGAACTTTCCATCCTCTTACCTTCAGCCTCTAGAGTGTTTCGATTACAGGCCTGCACCCCCCCACCCTGCCAAGTCTCTTGAGAGAACAAATCCTAGAGGTTTCCAGATATGACAGTAGGGCAGGGAGTCATTTATTATGAACTTCAATTAGGTGGGCAAAAACCACAGATTACCAGGAAAAGTGAAAATGCAGGCAGAGCTTGCAAATTATGGGTAATGGAAGGAGGAAAGAAGTTGTAGGGAAATAACTAAGCTAACATGATAGTTGTAAATTAAGAAAATTGCAGGACTGTCAAGCCCTGGAAGTAGAGCGCTACCTAGCAAGTGTAGCACTCTGAGTTCTACCCCTAGTACCAAAAAAAGAAAATTACAGAGAAGTTAAAACCCATTAATAGATTCTAGAAGGTGGTTTTTTTTTTTTTCCTCTGATGTATTTTAGGAGCAGCATCAGTAGAAAGGAGGTCTAAAAAACAAGACAAAGAGGTTTTTAAAAGTTCAATTTTGCAATTAAGAAAACTACTTAAGAGGGAAATCATCAACCGCAATTGCTTAGGGGCAGAGGGATGAAGGAAAGATCCACAATTAGGATGCAGTCAGGAGTTGACTTGGAAAATACAGCCTTATCCAGAATGGAGATAATTAACTAGTGCAGGCGCTACCTGGGTGGGGAGTCAGCCTGCTGGTGGATGGGGCAAACGGAGGGCTTTCGGTGTCCTCACACCAGCGGCAAAAACCTGGAGTCTGGCACTGTCAGGGAGCCCACGTGACGCCGCGTGGGGAGGGGCAGGTACAGGGGCGGGAGGGGGGGAGAAGAGGGGCAAGTGGAGGGACAGCAGGAGGGCGGGAGTGGGGAGGAGAGGGACAAGTGGGCGGAGGGGGGGAGGGTGAGAGGGCCAGGTGGGTGGAGGGGCAGGAGGGCCTGGGGGAGGAGAAGGGCAGGTAAGTTTGGGGAGAGGGCAGGGGGTCTGGAAGACAGGCAGGTGTTTCTGGGGTAGGGTGGAAGAAGGGCAGGCAGGTCTGGGGAAGGAGCGGGGTATCTGAGGGGGAGGGGCAGAAGTGGGGGGAAGGGGCAGGTGGACTGTAGTCAGTTTCCCCCGCGGGCGGAGCGCGGATCCGGCTACCGCCCCCTTTACCTGGCGCCTGGAGGCTGCTGCGGAGTGGCGGGCACTGGAGCCCGCGCGTCCCTCGCGGTCGGGGCCCCTTGGCTCCCCACACTGCAGTTTTTTCCCAGCCCTGGGCGGGGGCATCCAGACGGCCCCCGTGGGGTTTTTCAGTGACGCCGCGTCACATTTGGGATCTGGGTCTTACCTTCGGGTTGCCTCGAAGTTCGGCTTTGTGTCTTGTCTTCTCCCTGGGAGACAGTTGAAGCGGCTTGGCCAATCGCACTGCACCCTTTTTTTCTCTGCCCCAGATCCTGCCCACAGGGTCTCAGGCGAGCTTCTTTCCCAGTCTTTATTCTGTTTAATCTTCAGTTTTTCCTGTGGCCTCTCAAACTTTACCCATATCAACTCTGCCCAAGGTAAGCAAGCCCAAGTGGTACAGCTGCAATTTATGGACGCCACATGTATAAGTGAATTTAGCAACTCATTCGTTTAAAAAACACTTACTACAAAAAAAAAAAAAAAAAAAAGTTGACCTGAATGTAGAATAGTGATTACTAGAGGTTGGGAATGGAGGTTGGTTTTGATCAATGCACACATTTGTATGTATTGAAATACCACTGAATCACATTAATATGTACAATAAATAAATGTTAATGCATTTTAAAAACATTAAAACATGATACATTATTTTTAAAAGTTTATTGAGTGCTATGCTTCAGGTAGTGCTCTGGGTGCTGAGGGGTACAGCCACCCCACGCAGGGTGCCTCCCTCAACTTGGATGGGAACACACCTCGGACTTTGCTATGCAGTGCCTGCTTCAGTCCACCCTGGACTTCCAGAATTTTTGATACATAAAAGAAAGAGGGTTTTCCCCAGGGTGAGCAGCATAAAGAAAATAACAGATCACACAAATGGTATTGATGGCCACCTGTGGTAGCAGACAAATGGAAAACGGTTGGAGATAGAATGAGACTTGTCTGTGGAGGAATTCTACATCTAGTCGGCTTACTCTAAGCAGCACACTTTACACTTCCTCAGCAGCTGAATGTCTGTGACAGACTTCCCAGAGATTACTCTTTGTGGTGATAAGAAACTGATCTTTGTGGCTTGATCTATCAAATGAATTTTAGTTGTTTTCCTTCCAGTCTGAAGACCCATCCTTGGTATGATGTCAGAACTCCAGGTGGTGCAAAGGCCCAGTAGCAAATTCCACCTTCTCAAAGGAGTCACTTCCTACCTTCCATCAAGCAAGTCTTCTCTCAGCACTGGGCCCACTGGTGTTTCTCTGACCCCTATTCTGTCCTCTCTGTTTAGTATGTGGAGCCTCCTGCTGAGACCCGAATGTATCCTGTGTCTGTCTTCAGCCTTATCAGCGATAGCTCAGTTCAGCGATGACTGGTCACCTAGGTATGTTTGACAAGGAAAGACTGGGGAGGTTTCTCCTTCCCCTAGAGGGATGACTAGAGCCCTTGAAGGAAAGGTGAGGTTTATTTGCTTGTTTGTTTGTTTGTTTTGAGACTTGGGTCAGCCATGTATCCCAGGCTGGATTTAAACTTACTATGTAGTTCAGGGTGGCCTTGAACTCACCATCCTTCTGTCTCTGCCTTTCTAATGCAGGAAGTCAGGCCTTTCGATTGACCTTTCCTATGTATCTAGGACTTCATATATCTCTGTCCTTGCAGGATTAATCAGACTCACCTGACCCCCTCTTACCTGAAGATCCGCAGAGAGGGTCTAAAAGTAAAAGGCTCCAACTTCACACTGGAAAACTCTCCGTTTCTTATCGTTGCTGGCACTGTGCACTACTTCCGGGTGCCCAGGAAGTACTGGAGAAACCGTTTGCTGAAGTTGAAGTCCTGTGGCTTCAACACCCTTACCACGTGAGTGCTGGCCTCCTAGTTCTTAGTTCAAGAATTTGTCATTTGAATGCCTAGCTCTGAGACTTTATTTGACTTATCTGCAGGTTGACCTTTGCGGTACTTTTTTGTTCTCAGAATGTCTGAGTGTCTACTTGATATCCTGAGAATCTCCTGTAGGTAGAGCGTGCTGAAAGGCCTCTGTCTCAACAGGGTCACTGTGGTCTGTTCATAGAGTCCAACTTTCAGGCAAGGACAAGTACAGGCCATGGGGTCCCTAATTATGCAGTCTGGGACAGTGGCTCTCATGCCTCCTCCCGTAGCCTCATTTTCCATGAGAGTCCTTGCTGCAGTTATGAGTCCCAGGATATGATACTGTTTCACACACTCTGGTCTTTGATGGTGGCTTTCTTTGGGAGCCAGTCCTGGCAAATAATAAGATTATCTTTATTCCAGAAGTTGAAATTAAAGACAATGAGTTAATTCTTTCTGTTCTTTTAATCCTAAGGAATCTATCCATGACTTTAAAAAAAATTTTTTTTTGGCAGTACTGGGTTTGAACTCACGGCCTAACTCTTGGTAAGCAGGTGCTCCACCACTTGAGCCATTCCACCAGCCCTTTTTGTGTTGTCTATTTTTGAGATAGGGTCTCACGAACTGTTTGCCCATGCTGGATTCAAACTGTGATCCTCCTGATCTCTGCTTCCCCTGTAGCTAGGATTACAGGCGAGAGCCATTAGTGCCTGGCTTTCTATTACTGTTTTGACAGTTTTGTGTCATCTTTTTCAACGGTTTACTGATTTTAAAAAATAGCTTTAGAATATGTGGAATTTAATTTGGTGAATGATAAAGGATGATTCAGGTGAACATTTTTCACCTGAATTGTCATCATACTTTTTACATCCCTCTTTTTTTTCCGTCCTTATTTGGTTGCTTTTATGTAACAGTGATTTAACGATACTGAAATTTCATGAGCTATTAAAATTTCAAAACTGTTTGACTGTCAAGGCTTTTGTTTTATTTTCAGCATCCTTGCTTGCAGAACTAAAATATTATTACCATTATTTCGTACTAAAGACATTTTATTATCCAAACAAGTTCAAACCCCTGAACCACCAAAAAAAAAAAGAAAACAAAACAACCCTGAATTTTCTTTAAAAAGTCTTTGGCAAATCATCAGCCAAAGACTTGATGGCACAAACTTAGTTCGACAAAATTAGATTTGCTGACTTGCTAGGAGGCAGTGAGAGCCACAGGAACTGTGGAATGGGAGTCTGAACAAAGGGAACAAAGGATTTGTTAAGGTTAAGTTCAACCAAAAGGGTTCTGAGGTAAGAGTAGAAAAGTAGGGATAAATTCTGGATGAGTGGTAGTTTCTGAAGCAGGATGGAAGGTGTCTAAGTAGGGGCTGGCATGGGGTGAGGACAGTTTAACAATTGCGTCCCTTTGTAAGTAGGTGGGTACAGCAGAGGGTTTTGAGATGTCATTGGTGAGAAAGCAACAAGAAAGAAGGTGGTTACAGAATTTCACAGATGTTACACAAGGTTGGTAATTACGTTGCCTATTAAATGTCTCTCCCTTGCATTTGTGTCTGCCTCCCAGTCTGAAAACATAGGGCTGGCTTTTCTTGGACTTCTTAGTCCAAGTTTATTTTTGTTCTTTGTCATGTACAGGTGTTTTATTTATTGATTTTCTTAGGATATATTCTTTGTACAAGGGGGATTAATTGTGACAATTCAAAATGGGCTTATATTGTATATTGGTTAGATCACCTGTGTACAGGTTTTTAATTACTAAAGTATTTTACTATGAATTCACAAAAACTATACTTTAGGACCAGGGGATCTTGGTCATTGCCTGAGGACACAATGACAGCTTTATTTCTGGGCTACTATTGGTCACTTTATACTATCCATTCTTGTGCCATCTTAACTTTTTTTCTTTTTAAAGACAGTCATAGGCTGGGGACATGGCTCAAGTGGTAGAGTGCTTGCCTAGCAAGCATGAGCCCTCGGGTTCATCGTAAGTACTGCAAAAAGACAGGGTCTTGTTACTTGTTACAGAGATCTAGAGGATCACAGTTTGAGGTGTGCCTGGGCAAAAAGTTAGTTGAGACCCTATCTCAACAAAATAAGCTGGGCATGGTGGAGCATTTCATCTATTCAAGAGGATTAGGCCCAAAGTTGGCCCTGGATAAAAACACAAGACCCTATTATAAAAATAACTAAATACTTAAATATTAAATATAAAATAACTAAAACAAAAAAGAACTAGGGGCATGGCTCAAATGATAGAGTGCCTGCCTAGCAGGTGCAAGTTCTTAAGTTCAAACCCAAGTACTGGGAGGATGAAAAGGAGGTCTTGCTTTGCAGTCCAGGCTGGTCTTAAACTCTCAATCTTCCTGCCTTAGTCTTTTGAGTGCTGGGGCTATAGACATATCTTTATGTTTTATTTAAGTTTGCTCCCCCTTTTTGCACATACAATATTTGGTTTCAGTCTATACTCTATGTAATAGGCTGGTTTCCCTTCTTGGCCTTTTATTATCGTAAATTGTTTTGTTATTTCTAAAAAACATTGCCTTCTTTTAGAACAATGGAAAAATTTATTTTATTATTGCTAATATTTAGGTGGTACTGAGGTTTGAACTCGGGGCCTTGTGCTTGCTAGGCTGGCACTCTAACACTTGAGCCATGCTCCAGCTCTTGGAGTGATATTTTTATTTGTTTATTGTTTCATGTCCTTTCTTCTATTGGTTGGAGAGATACAGATTTCCTTACTAGATGCTCAAGAGTTTATAATTTATATCTCCGGCTTATCAACAAATACTCCCTTGTACTTCCATCTGTGTTTTTACCCACCTCTTAATGCAAAAACCTTTGGAAACTTTGTCTATAGTTACTTCCATCCTGGTGTTGGTTTGTGTTTTGCTTTAAAACACAGACATTATTATTGTTTTTTCTAGAGTAATTTTCTTTCTTTTTCTTCTCTTGCTGTACTGGGGCTTGAACTCAGGGCCTTCACCTTGAGTCACTCTACCAGCTCTTTTTTGTAATGGGTTTTTTCAAGATAGGGTCTCTTGAACTATTTGCCCAGGCTGGCTTCAAACCGAGATCCTCCTGATCACTGCCTCCTGAGTAGTTAGGATTTCAGGCATGAGCCACTGGCCACCCGGCTAGAATAAATTTCTTTAGTGAATTTTCATGACTGTAGGTCTCTTGCAAAAAAGTTTTTCTCAGTCTTTCTTTATCTGAAAATGCCTTATTTTCACTAGTATAAATTCTAAGTTGGTAGTCTTTTTTCCAGTTGCTTCCCTCTGGAAGTAAAAGTAAAAGTGGCCTTTACTGCTTCTGCTGTGAAGTTAATTGTCCGTTTAGTTGATGTTCTTTCGAGAGCAATGCATCTTTTTCTTTAGTTGCTTTGAAGAATTGAAGGATTATAATTAATTAAAACAAATAAATTACTTTTTGGCAATATTGGGGTTTGAACTCAGGGTCTTGCACTTACTAAGCAGGCACTCTACCTCTCGAGCCCCATCAGTTTTTGCTTCAGCTGTTTTTCCAGTTGGGTCCCACAATGCCCAGGCTGTCCTGAACTGCAGTTCTCCTGTTTAAGCCTCCTCTGTATCTGGGATAACAGGTGGTTGAGATGGGGTCTCTAGAACTGTTTTGGCTGGGCTGGTCTCCAAGTGTGATTGTCTCAGTCCCCACCTCCGGATAGCTAGGATTATAGGTGTGAGCAACCATGCCTGTCTAGTTGACTTTTGTGGCGCTGAAGAGAGAACCCAGGGACTTGTACATGCTAGACAAGTGCTCTACCACTGAGCTACACCCAGCCTCCTAGGTTCCCTCCCTCTACTCCTCCTTCCCTTCCTCCCTTCCATCCTTCCTTCCTTCCTTCTTGCTACAGTACTGAGGATTGAACCTCACAAATGCTAGGTAAACTGCTCTAGTGCTGAGCTATATCACTAGGCCTTTTTAAAAAGTTTATTTTGAGATAAGTTGCTCAGCTGGCCTCCAATTTGCAATCCTCCTTCCTCAACCTCAGGAGTAATTGGGATTATAGGTCTGTGCCACCATGCCCAGTTTATTTTAATAGGCATTAGTTTTTGGATCAGAAAAATTGAGCAGAAAGTACACAATTCCCATGTGTCTTCTGTCTCCTGCACTTGCACTCATAGCCTCCCTGTTATCAACCTCCCCCCAAATGGGTTGGGAAGTGTGTCCCAGAGTTAGAGCACTTGCCTAACATGCACAAGGCCCTGGGTTCTAACCCTAGCACTACAAAAAACAAAAAACTCAAGTGCATATTTGTCTCGAGCAGGCAACGGTGCAAAGTTGACCGGCAGTCAGGCGCTAAATGAATTAACTTAGGCAGGAACTAAGTTGCTCAAACACACACTTTATTGCAAGGAGTTACAACCTATGCCCGATAACGCCTCAGCCTTCCCCAAGCTGTGCTCACCTTGACGTGAATCTTAGTCCACCAGTGGCTGGCTCTGAACCGGTCCTGACTAGTTCTCAGCCCAATATGCATCCAGGACGCCCAGGGAATCAGAAGGGCTGTGCGAGTGTCTGGTCCACTTCGTCCGGGATTGTCCCCGATTGGCGTGATGCGTGTTGCTGGTTGGAAGGAAGTAGCATTGGTCTTATGGCCAGTGGAGTTTAAGTATTTGTAGCAGGTCAGTTTATTGGCATCAGCTGAGGTTTGGCTGATTTGCATATTGGGGACCATATGGTATTTGTTTACATCATAGGGCTTACAAGTGCACACAATATTGTTTTCCTATAGGTCTTACAATGTATTATATTTTTATGTACTTTTTCAATATGTTTAATGCACAGCAAACATAACACTCCTAACAGTATTTTGTTGGACATGGGAGCATTCACCTGTAATCCCAGCACTCTGGAGGCCGGAGGATCACCAGTTTGAGGCCAGCCTGGGCCACAGTGTGAGACTCTGTGTCTAAAAAAAGAAATCCCCCAGCAGCATGGCACATTTGTTATGATCAGTGAGACCCACAT